CCTAGCTCCACAGAGGTCATTCTGAATCTGTTGGAACTTCTCTGTGAAGAACTCAAGTTCCTCAGTGCAGAAAGAAGCCACCCAGAAGAGTTCCACTGTTCAGCGTGTCCACTGTGGTCATCACAGAGGACAGGAAAGCCCACCTATCTCCCACAACAGCTATAGCAAAGTAACAGTCGTATAGAAAATATTTGGGACCGAGCCACTCCATTACACCATGCTTACGTAGAAATAATTCCACTGAAGTTAAGGGAATTACATCAGTGTAAAACCCATGTAACAGAGTGGAAAATCAGCCCCCTTGATGTCACAGGCAACAAGATCCATCACTGGATTTTCACCAGCAATGCTCTCATTTCCTTCTCTCTCACCCCATCTGTTGGAGGTCATTATTACACTAAGGTCACTTGTCAGGACTGTTCAGAAAGTGGGGACATTTAAGGACCATAGCGTAAATAGTCACATTGTGACAGTTCTAGTGGTAACCAGGACTGTGAACTACCTTGTTACCCCCTTCCGCTGGCGAGAAGGAATCTTTCTTATGGTAGCTGGCTCTTTGTTGTTACTATTTTGCTAAATATTAAAAATGATGAGAGGCAACAGGAAAATCCGGATGTAGCAGAAACGTGGAAATAAATGTGGATTCCTTTCCCATACTCATGGTGGCATGGAGCAATCAATGCCATGCACGTTACAATAAAGAAGAAACAGGTTTCACATGGTTGGAACACAGTCAATTAAGAAAAATACTGATTGCATTCTGGAAATATTCCCATGGTGCCACACTGTATGTGGAGTTGGTGGGTAGGAGGAGTGAAGGTGTGATAATTAAAAGAATTGCTACTTGATAAGTCACAGGAGCTAATGTGTTAGCTTAGCATCCTGGGAAGCTAGAATGTTCCCAGCTGCTGCGAAGACGGAGTATAGTTTGATCCCTAGCACCATTCGTTGGGACAAGATGAATCACAAATGCTCTAATAGTGAGTTTCCATGTCACAATGTGCCAGATGGAGGTGGTTACTTCCCTGATTGATTGCCTTTTGGGCTACAAAGAGGTTTTCCAGCAGGCTAATGCCTTTATGTTGGCACACAACCTTCAGGGATCGGCAGGTCCTTCTTTGGTCAATACCACATTGGAATCCCTGCATAGCAATAGTGTGGCTCCCCTAATGGGGAAAGGCATTGAGGAGTAAAGAAGAAAGAAGTGGGAGTGAACGAATACAATATTGTACAAAAATAAACCTCAGATCCCTTGCATCCCTAATAGACATTGCTGCAAATGAATCTTCAGACACGTGCTGAGTTAACGGGCATGAACAACAACAAAACATCCTTTAGTTAAACCCAATACTTTACAAAGGCTAATTGAAAACGGAAGGAACGATGGGGGGTAGAGAGAGAGAGAACAGCTCTATTGTCAAGTATCGAATATGAAATCCCTGCAACAGATGAGTTTACATGCAAGCCTGCACCCCATCAGGGCAAAGATACAGTGGAGTTATTTCCCTCAGAACACAACAGCACCAGTCCCTTGCACTGCCCAGCTAGCTTTCTCGACTGTGAGCTTTAGAATATAAACAGCCAATAAGTAAGAGCAATAACTATAGCTTCCTGCTGGGAGCTAACTCTGCCTGTCATGCATTTGCTGGGTCCTAATACAGGACAGTGAATAAAGCTTCATTACAGAACAATGGAGTTAGCTGCCAGAGCCTACAGATTTGAATAAACAACAAATAAGCAACATCTGCTCCAGCATATGTGTATGGTAAAAAAAAAAAAAGTCACAAAATAAAAGAATTTGTAAATGCCAAAAGCAACACTAAACTGCCAGTGCTACTGTAGAGTGAATTTTTAATTGCACATGCATACAGGCAGGCTGTGGGTATTAGTCTCACATATGTCTGGTTGCTGCCAACCTGGGAGTATAGATGAATTTAATTAAATAAGGATTATCCCTGTTCCCCAGTACAATTACTTATTTATAACAATGATAAAATTGCCTAATAAAAAATTGTAATATTTTTTTTAAAACAGAGCTAGAAAACACTGTTTTCCTTGTAAGTCATTCAGGGATGTTTGGGGGGTTGAGTGTCTTTTAAAATTAAGTCTCAGCATTCTGCCAAGAGAGAAAAGAAGAAGAAGAAAAAAGCCTTATCATAAAGCCTGCTGCATTTAAACAGCCAAAATCTACATGATGGAGAAATATAAAGAAGACACACAGGAGACAGGGAATTGGCTTTCATGGGGAGTGTAGAAAATTAAGCAATTGGACTAAAATTGAGGCCAGGCTACAGAGCCCAGGGAAAAGACCATTAGGGCAAGTACTTCAATAAGTCACCCATTTCTAATATGCTCCCTTTATGCAAAATACTCTGTTGCTAGTTAGCCCTACTTCTTCATCACCTAGCACTACTTCCAGAGGTAATGGAGTGGAACAGCTTCCATTCCATCCCTGTTTTCAGAGGCTTGTAACTTATGTTTCTTACAATAGATCCTGCTGGCCATCCGAGAAAGGGGTCCCATTGTGCTAGTTACTGTACAAACACAGTAACAGACAGTCCCTGCCCCCAAAGATATTACAATCTACATTTAAATTTGGTAACATTCACTTTTGGGGCTGTTTTCCATAATTAGGGTCCTATTCGGCAAAGCACTTCAGCATGTGGCTTTAACCATGTGCTTAAGTCTATCCCTGTCCTGGAATGCACTTAAGGACATACTTAACTTTAAATACACGTTTAAGTTCATCAGTATTCAATTTAAGTTAAGCATATGCTTACGTGCTTTGGTGAATTGGGGCCTTAGGGTTAGATCCACAGAGAGGACTTAGACTCAGTGGTGCAACAGTCTAGATACCTGGCCCCCAACAGAATCCACAGTTCTGAGTTAGGTACCTAAATACATTAGAGGATCTGGCCCCATATTGTCTTCGTTGAAATTAAGACAAGTATCAATAATACCATAACAACAGAGAAAGATCAGAATTTAAATCACATGCTGAAATAACATTTTGGAACTACACCTTGTGTCACAGACATTAATATAATACGTGTACTATTTACTTATATGATATTGGTTGGCCATTTAATTGGATGACAAAGCACTGCCGTCAGTAGAGGCAAAGTAATCACATTCTACATACTGTACCATGAAATCACAACTAAGCACATGCTTATTTCTGTGTTTTAGACCAGAATGCATGGTACCTAGTTATTCCTTTACTTATGGTGAGAACAGTATAATTATGCAATCTGGAGCAATTAATACCATTTGTCATTACATGGTACAGTAATTCACTGGAGCTGGACAAATAGTAGGAAACTCTATTTGTGAGCATTTTAGCAAATCCTGAAATGGGTTGACTGCGTTCACTCTCTGTGAATACTTGTGCAAATGAGGTTTTCTTTGCACAAATGTTGGGGAATGAGCTGTAGCTCACGAAAGCTCATGCTCAAATAAATTGGTTAGTCTCTAAGGTGCCACAAGTACTCCTTTTCTTTTTGCGAATACAGACTAACACGGCTGTTCCTCTGAAACCTGTTCTTTGTGTGAATACCAGTATGAAGATTATTTATGCATTGGTGTGGGAGCTTGTCTCTATTTATAAAGATTCAGTTGTCATTCAGGAAGCAGAAACAAAACAATACCATGTAACTGAGGTGATTAACACACCATGAATAGCAAACAAGGGGACCTTATCCAAAGCCCAGTGACGTCAATGAGGGTATGTCTACACTGCAATAAAAACACCAGTGGCTGGCCTGTGTCAGGTGACTACGGCTCACAGGCCTTGGCCTGCGGGGTTGTTTAATTAGCGGGTAAATATTTAGGCTCAGGCTGGCCACTGGAGAGTCCCAGAGTCCAGGCTCCATCCCGAACCTGAACGTCTACACTGCAATTTTTTAGTCCCACAAGCTCTGGTCAGGTGACAAGGGACATTGAAGGTGTTTTATTGCAGTGTCGACATACCCTTGAGAGTCTTTCCATTGATATCAGTGGTCTTTGGATCAGGCCCATAGTGAACAGCCAAAGACAGGACCAAAACAAACAATCCATAAGCTGAAATACATAAGCGTTCAATAAACTCAGTATGTGGGTGTATCACTAACACACTCATTCAAACAAAAACCTGCTCACAGATCATTTGGAAACAGAAAGAAAGAAAGGCTGTCGGATAAATTATTCACTGCAAATAGTTTGATCAGCTCTAGCATTTACTAAGTGAAGCTTATGCACTTGGGGTGAATTCCTGGCCTTACTGCAGTCAACGGGACTTGTGCCATTGACTACACTGCCACCAAGATGTCACCCTTGAAGATGACAACTCTTGGGTAAATTAATGGGATGTATGGATGATTAGCATCTATGGATATCAGGCCACTTATTTATGTGACTAAATATGGATTTGCATTTAAATAATCAATATCATTCTGTGAGGCCCACCAAGGTGTCTCCCTTTATTCCTGGCTGTCTGTTCCTTGCCACTCTCAAGCTCAATTACATAACGACTCTCCCCTGCTCTGGAGTTTGTCACTGCTGCTTTGAACACAGCTAGAGGGAGTAACTTGAGAATGCTGCTAGACATTCTCCAGCCTGCTTCTCCAGCACTCCCCATCCATCTCTCTAGCAGAAAGAGCTCAGGACTCAAACTCAGGTCCTCCCACAGGATGTCAAGACACACTTCCACTTTACTGTCTGTCCAGTTTGCACTTTAAGCCTTTAAGCACTTAATGCAGACCCAGCCTGGCAATGAGTTGTGTATGAACAGACCTCTAAGCATACACACATATAGCCCCTTTGACTTGGTGTGCATACTTGTAAGCCACATTATTTTATTAATGCTCGTTTGGTTGGCACATTTATAGTTGTGCATCCAAACTGCATAGATGGTAGGAGCAGCTAGAGAATGCACTCTGCAAGAGATGAGAAATTAGAAAAAATACATAGCAAAATTAAGTTTTGTTTTTTTTTAAAGCTACATTTTATTTGTTAATACCCACCTGAAGTGCTGCCATGAAGATTTCCCCCTGGAGTTTCATCCTCAAAGCTCTGGATCTGAGACAGAAAAAAAAAAAAAACCACAAAAGCAAAAACAGCTTATTTATTATTACAAGTGTATTTCCCCTTTTAGAATTAAGAATTTCCAACTGAAATATTGTTAAATCTTCTTTCAGTGGCTCTTGTTTTTATTACTGTTTAGTATTTTAAGCCAGGATCTAGTCCTAGTCACCCTCCAACTCCCATATTTAAGTGTCAATGGACAAAGGCCCCCTACCCCTGTACTATACATTCAAGCTCTTGCCACTGAACTGGCTCAAACAAATGCCCCTCAGAAAATGTGCCTTTATTAGCATAAATCAGACCTATGGGGCCAAATTCTTGCAATGAGGTGTAAAGAAGGGAAGGATTTTGCTCAGAGAATGTATTTAGAGAAGCACCCCAACCTCCTATATAGGGATTGGTGCCTCCATTGTGCTAGATGCTCTTCAAAACTCATGCGGCTAGTTTGGACCTTTTAATCCACTGTGCTGAACCACACTGTCTCAGAGAGGTGCAATAGTGTTTCATGTGTTTCTCTGCAAGCTGGGATGGGGGAGGTCAGCATCATGACCCCAACCTTGCAGTCAGGGCTTAGCATTTTTCTTAGCCACTGTAGGTGAATGTAGGCTGGGACAAAACTCTTAGAGCAAAAGAAAAAACTTGAAACAGGACTCAGCTGAACGAGCCTCTTCTCCATGGATCCAGAATCCCACCTCCCCCAGATGACCCTTGAAAGTGGAAACCTTCCTGAATCTGCTGCCATCTTCTACAGAGGAGGCATGCCACCTCTCTATTTCGCTCTCAAGTTCCAATTGTCTGTAGTGGATTGCTGGCTGTATCCTCTCCCCATTTCCTTGGTTCTTCAGGGAGACCCTAATTGTTGGCCTCCTTCCCCTATCTTTAGTCTTTGGGTGGCTGGAAAGATAAGCCTGCTCCTCTGTGCATCCTATTAGAATGGCCAGTATAGGGTAGTAGCCTTCCTGGACCTCTTTCTGCAGCAATGGGACCAGACACACTCCAGATGATCCCACTGTTGCAACTGCACACTGATCTTATATAAGACTAGGATTGACAAACACTCCAGGTTATGCTGCACCACACTGACCCTGATCCACTTCCCATTGCTCCTAAAATGTATTGACAGCAGAACATCAGGGTCTAGAGCCATTCCATGGAATGTGGATCAGAGGACAAGCCATTTCTTTGAATGAGCTTGTTTTTAGGACACAGAGTTTAAGGAACAACTGCTGGAAAGCATATTGGCATTTTATCCGATAGTACTTGTTGACACAATCATGGCTTTTTGAGTAACACCTGTGCCAAATTTTTTGACAGTAGTTTATACCTAAATTGAAAACCTTAAACAGTCTATAACACACAGAGAAAGGGGTCTGGCTTCTCTCCCTGGTGCAGGGATATGATGTTTGAAAACATTCTACTTTAGCTCTCATCTTGGAGGAGAGAAGCCAGATCTATACTTGTATTTACCATCTGTATATGCACATTGTCATTATACGGTACATAGAAATCTGCCTTACCTCTTCCATTTCAAATGAATCTGGAGGCTTGTCCTTTGTACCAGACACCCTTCTGAGCATGTGAGTCAAGAGCAAATTGGACTCCTTCCTTGGTCTGTCTTTGACAGCCATCTCCGATGCAGAAGGAATCTGGGGCTGCTTTATAGGTATATATGACAAAACCTGAGATTTCCCTGTTGGAGCCTGTGGCAGCCGGGATAATGTCAGTGCATCATCCTCAGTGGAAGACTGTTCCTCTCTCAGACCCACCAAGGTATTATTTTCAGAAAAGCCAGTCCTGATTGCTATGCATTGGTCCATCTCAGCGTAGATGGGAGACTGTTCTTCTCTATCCTTGAATGACTCTGAATTTCCAGAAGCCTGAGCACTCCTTTGCAGTACTATTGCCTGTCTAGAAGCTTTTCTCAGGAAATGACCTAGCCTTCTCCGCTTCACTCGTGTGGCCTCAGCTTTGTTCCTCTGAATGTCCGTCATGCTCTTTTCTTCCCCATTACTCTCCTCTGATTTCTGTTGCTGGGTGTTAACACCATTCAGCAAAGAGGAGAAGGCACTAGTCACATGATCCAGGACTTCCAGTTGTCGAAAACGCCCTTGAGTTTGATAGAAAGGGATGAAAAGGTCCATTGTTAAAACAGAAAAGAATGATGCAGTCATGACCTAAACTAACACTATCAGGTTACACACAGTTGTCAAGGCAGTTCAGCCTTTCCCCTCGGCTTTCTTCAGAGAGACTGGGAATTCTTCAAATAACAGGCTGCTTTGGGAAAGAAATGCTAGGGCTTTTCCAGATCCCTTTATTATGGATTCTTTTTTATCCATATTTTAAAGGCCAAATTTTGAAGAGTGGTTTCCAAAGTTCTGCAACCAAAATTTGCACGGCATACAGAGAGAGGTGCATGAATATGGCTTTGGGAGCCTAACTTGAGACTCAAAGACTCAGCAAAGAATATAAACATGTGCTTAAACTGAACTTTAAAGAGCGTGAGCTACACTATGGGCCCTATAATCCATGCTGGCAGTTAACACGGGATTTAAAGGGCCCTTAGTGTAAATGAGAATCACTCCCTAACTGCTTTATTGAATAGGGATGGATTTAGGTGCTTAAAAATAAACATGTGCTTAAGTGCTTTGCTAAATTGGGGCCATGCATGTTACATGTATGTGAATTAAGATGAACTGTATATTTGAAACAATTGACTACCTTCTGGAGCATAATTAATTTTAAAACTTTTCACTGTTAATGAACACATTAAGGGCCTGATCCAGAGTTCACTGAAGTCAACCAGAGTCTTTCCATTGACTTCAAATGGGTTTAGGATCAGGGTTATAATGGCTTGATTGTGCAAGTCTTAAATCGGGTAGTACTTATAGAAGCAGTTTCATTGAGCTCATTGGGTCTTCTTGTGTTAATACTACTCAGCATAAGTAAGGGCTGGAGAATCAAGCCTCAATTTCCCAAATACCATAAGCCAGATCTGATTCCAGTTATTAAGACTGAATAGCGATTTGTACTATGAGTCACCCCACTGAGCTCAGTTGGTCTACCCAGAGTACGGTGCTACTCACTGTGTATCAGAATCAGTTCTCAAATACTTACAGTTGGCTATCATCCAAGACTCCTATAAATGTATAAACCCTTTAACTGGTAGCGATTAAGTACTGTAATTTATGTCAATAAATAGTTCACTGAATTAACCAATACAACCCCTAAAGGCTCTGTTCTTGCAAGAAGTGCATTGTCCTCCACAGACAGAGCAGAATGCACACACACAGAAGTTTCATAAGGTTCCCACAGCTTGTTAAGCTTATTAAGTCTCTGTAATTTGCTGGCAAATATTATTCCACAGCATAACAGCTCAAGGGAGATGATTTAATTTTTCATCTGTTTTATAAAAAAAAAAAAAAAAAACCCCAAAGAATTTTGGAGATTTCCATCATTGTAAAATGTTGTCAGGTTATTGATAAAAGGAGCTACAACACATCTGCCTGTATATTGTGTCCCAAACCCTTCCTGAGGCAATGAAAATGTCAGAAGGGCTCCTGATTCCTTGAGAAATTCACTGAGGGGAATAGATGGCAAAGTTCTAACATTCTTGGCTTCTGTGTCTCCTAGTGAGCAGCCAAATTTATTGCATGTATTCTGCATGCAAACTGTTAAAGCCGCTTCACTGATGATTAGACAACAAGGGGATATTTAACATGGATCTGAGCTGGGTCTGTGCATGAGGGACCAATATCATGACATATAATTCCTGACTGTTACCATTTCTCTCTGAGACTCATGTTTTTCCAAACACTGGGATGGCAAAATCCGCTGAAGTTAAAAATCAGGCAAAGTCTTTTTAAGGACAATGACAAAGCTTTCACTAGCTCTGGTTAAAAACTAGTCATTGGATCTATCAGTATACAGAGTACACAGTGGTATTTTGGGATATAAAGATTTTATTGGCATGAGTTTGGGATGATGGTATGACTCACTCATGGCTTTGCATATCAATGATGCCATCACATATTCTCCAAATAAAACATATATCCTCAGTATTGTACATTGTTAGGCTGTTAACTGTGTCAGGATGTAAAAATGCCAATTTCTAATCTCTTCTGAATTATTAGTGACAGAATTGTCTAACGTTTCTGATTTAAATCAGAACCACCTTTTATAGTTTGAAATAGATTGCAAAAGCAAAACAACATGTCAAAAACTATCTCAGTTTCTGACAGCTAATGAATGAATCAAATGATGAGGAAAAAGAGAAGCAAGCAATAATTCACTAATTGTGAATGTAATCAATGCACAGGGTCAAATCCATCCTTTGTGTAACTACACTGACTTCAACCAAGTCACTGGAGGAACCACATCAGGCTAACATTGCTTCATTGCTTAATCCTCCCCTTGCAGGCAGCCCCATTGATTTCAATGGGATCTCTCCAAGGAGTAATGTTTAAACATGTGAGCAAGATGAGCAGGTCTGAATTTAGCCCACATTACTTACCGAGCTTTTAGCTCTTTTCCTAAATACTAAGGACCCAACCGTGCCAATCCTTACTCACTCAAGTAATCCTTGCCCATGCATGCAATCCCACTGAAGACAATTAGACTACTCATGTGAATCAGGGCCTATTCACATTATAGCTGTGAGATCCTGATAACAGTACAGTTATCCCCACAGCCATTTACAACACAGCTGAAATCTGTAGTGTAGATGAGACTAAGTCAGGGGTAGTCATTAGGCAGACTGCGGGCCAAATCTAGATCGCCAGATGCTTTTTGAATGAACCCCGAAATCTTTTTATTTACTACTTATCATTATTGTTATTACTTTTTTTATTATTTTCTCTGGAGCCTGGACCTTGACCATCCCTTGACCAAGAAATTTGGACCTTGACAAAAAAATAATGGCCTACCCCTGCCTTAAGGAATAGAGATGAGACACTAGAATTTGCAGTTGTGTTGTAATTGTCTCAGGATAATTATGTTGTAAACAAGCCCACTGACTCAGTTATACAGCATGTGTAATTTGGTCAGTGTCTAAGAATTTGTAAGGTCAGGTCTCAAATAGCTGAGAAAAAAACACACATTTTAGTTTATCTTTACCTAAATCCCAAGGTAAATTGTCTAGAAGACTACTATAAGGATTTAGAATCTCATAAGAGGCCATCACTGAAATGAATGAGGGGCCTTTTGAGTTTCTAGTGGTGACTGGAAATTTTCCAACAAAATGTTTTTTAAATGGAAAATGCAGTTTCTGCAAAAATATTTCCATTAAAAAAGATTAAGCAAAATTGAAATGTTTATTTACCAGTTTGAAAATCAAAATGAAATATTTAATTTTGGTTCATGTCATCTTGGTTTGTCGAACTGAAATGCTTCATTTCAGATCAGCTCTACAATGATGCATTGCAGTCTCCCCTCTGATTGAACTGCTGTGATGGATCATGGGAGTCATAAGACCACAGTAGATCTGAGAGATGTAGTCTGGCTGGGGACTCTAGCCCATAAAGAAGAATGAGTGCATGAGGCACCCAAATTACAACTCAGACGAAGCACCATGGAAGCTCAGGAGTACACAAATGAGTGTTAAAATGAAAGGAAATTTTTTAGATTTGTGAATGTTGAAATGTTTTCTTCGGATCAAATTAAGGCTGAGGATTAATCACAGTTAACTCATGCGATTAACTCAAAAAATGAATTGCGATTAAAAAAATTAATCGCCATTAATCGCAGTTTTAATTGCACTGTTAAACAATAGAATACCAACTGAAATTTATTAAATATTTTGTATGTTTTTCTACATTTTCATATATATTGTATTCTGTGTTGTAATTGAAATCAAAGTGTATATTATTTTTATGACAAATATTTGCACTGCAAAAATGATTAACAAAATAAATAGTATTTTTCAATTCACCTCATACAAGTACTGTAATGTAATCTCTTTGTCATGAAAATGCAACATACAATTGTAGATTTTTTTGTTACATAACTGCACTCAAAAACAAAACAATGTAAAACTTCAGAGCCTACAAGTCCACTCAGTCCTACTTCTTGTTCAGCCAATCACTAAGACAAACAAGTTTGTTTATATTTACAGGAGATAATGCTGCCCGCTTCTTATTTTCAATGTCACCTGAAAGTGAGAACAGACATTCGCATAGCACTTTTGTAGCTGGCATTGCAAGGTATTTACATGCCAGATATGCTAAACATTTGTATGCCCCTTCATGCTTTGGCCACCATTCCAGAGGACATGTTTCCATGCCGATGATGCTCATTAAAAAAAAATAATGCATTAATTAAATTTGTGACTGAACTCTTTGGGGCGAGAATTTGTATGTCCCCTGCTCCGTTTTACCCACATTCTGCAGTATATTTCATGTAAGAGCAGTCTTGGATGATGACCAAGTGCATGTTGTTTATTTTAAGAACACTTTCACTGCAGATTTGACAAAACACAAAGAAGGTACCAATGTGAGATTTCTAAAGATAGCTACAGCACTTGACCCCAGGTTTACGAATCTGAAGTGCCTTCCAAAATCTGAGAGGGACAAGGTGTGGAACTTGCTTTCAGAAGTCTTAGAAGAGCAACGCTCTGATGCGGAAACTACAGGACCCGAACCACCAAAAAAGAAAATCAACCTTCCGCTTGTGGCATCTGACTCAGATAATGAAAGTGAACATGCGTCCGTCCGCATCATCAGCATGGACATATGTCCCCTGGAATGGTGGTTGAAGCATGAAGGGACATATGAATCTTTTAGCGCTTCTGGCATATAAATATCTTGCGACACCGGCTACAACAGTGCCATGAGAACACCTATTCTCACTTTTAGGTGACATTGTAAACAAGAAGTGGGCAGCATTACCTCCTGCAAATGTAAACAAACTTGTTTGTCTGAGCGATTGGCTGAACAAGAAGTAGGACTGAGTGGACTTGCAGGCTCTAAAATTGTACATTGTTTTATTTTGAATGCAGGTTTTTTTGTATGTAATTCTACATTTGTAAGTCCAACTTTCATGATTTGCACTACAGTACTTGTGTTAGGTGAATTAAAATACTATTCTTTTATTTTTTTACAGTTCAAATATTTGTAATCAAAAATAATTATAAAGTGAGCACTGTACACTTTGTATTCTGTGTTGTAATTGAAATCAATATATTTGAAAATGTAGAAAACATCCAAAAATTTTAAAATAAATGGTATTCTATTATTGTTTAACAGTGCGATTAATCACAGGATTAATTGTGATTAATTTTTTTAATCACTTGACAGCCCTAGATTAAATATGTTGAAATGAAATGTTTCAACCTTTCTGAATCATAATTTTTTGAACTTTCCATCTCAAAAAAATATTGACATTAACAAATTTTGGTGTATTGTGATTTTCCATGGGGCATAAATTCCAATATTTGAACAGCTCTAGGAACTTAACACAAAATAGGAACTGATGCTGGATCTTCACATATATGCCCTCCTCCTCTTTAAGCAATATTTCCTCTGTTCCAGTGAGTCACACAATAAATATTGCACTCTGGATTTTATAGTCAAAATATTAAACTGTCTTTCAGGGATGTTTAGAAGAGCTTCAAAAATGCAGTATTTAACATATGCAGAATATGATATAGAATAACTTGGGGAACCTCCATATTGATGATCCATAAGTACAAACTATAAAGTTTCTCAAATCAGACATGCACAGAAAATCAAAAAGGAGGAGGAGGAAGACAGAAGGGGAATGGAGTGAGTGAGAAAGGAGAGAAATTTGACTGACATGTTTTTCTTCTTCTAAAGACTGGTGTTTTCTGGCTATTCATTCCCAGCAAAGTCCTTTCCCATCTGAGGATGACATGAGCTAGCTAGATTTTCTAAAGAGTTCAGCTCCTATTTAGACACCACAATAAGTAGCTCGATTTTCAAAATAGCTCAGCATTTTGGGTGCTTAGCTCTTATAAAAATCTGGCCATCTGTATCACAATGGGAGCTGCTGGCTGCTGAGCTCTTCTGAAAAATCAGAGCTGAAACCTTGGCTCCATTGAAGCGAATGGGAGTTTGGCCATTGATTTAGATGGAGCCAGGATTTCACCTCTGGCTTTTATTTAGGTGCCCAAAGGATTGCTGAGCTCTTGAAAATCTGGCTCAGTGACTATATAGAAGAATCAATTACCACCAATCAAACAGAAGCATCAACAAATAATACACCAACTGAGCAGCAAATGCATTTGAAAAGGTCAGATCAGCAATTAAACAGCTCTAGAAACTCAGGAAAATAATAAATCTGACTTTACTGTGGAAGCCAAACCCGCAGTTTATTCTCCCACCACAGCCACCAACAGGCAAACCCAAACAGAAAAGACTTCACTGGGAAATTAATAGCTGGGAGATTTCAAAAACCAACAACCCTAGGTTTCAGAGTAGCAGCCGTGTTAGTTTGTATTCGCAAAAAGAAAAGGAGTACTTGTGGCACCTTAGAGACTAACCAATTTATTTGAGCATAACAACAACCCTTGAGAGACCATGTCGCCTAGCCAGACAGACAAATCTCTTCCTCCTCTGTCATCCACTCCTTTTCTCTCTCCCAGGCTAGATCTTAATCCTTTGCTCTTTCATTCTGTCCTTTTTTCTCTTCTCCTTCACTCTTTTGCTTTTCTTTTCCTCCTTTAATCTGTCCTTCCTCCTCACTCCCTCCTTTCGCTCTCATTGATTTTCTTCTTTCCCTCTCCTCCATCTGGGGAGTTCTCTCACTCACACACCAATCCCGTTGATGTGTGGGTTTGCTGTAAACATTTAGATGGGCACATGGGTCTATGAAACATTTTCTGTAAGGGTGGACATTTCTGTTGCATTTCTCATTTGATAATGTACGGCTTACTTGATGAAGTTTCTGAATAGGAAGGCAGCCAGTATGTATGAGATCCTGCCTTGATGAGCATCTCAGGAGCAAACTGACAGGTTTCAGAGTAACAGCCGTGTTAGTCTGTATTCGCAAAAAGAAAAGGAGTACTTGTGGCACCTTAGAGACTAACCAATTTATTTGAGCATAAGCTTTCGTGAGCTACAGCTCACTTCATCGGATGCATACTGTGGAAAGTACAGAAGATCTTTTTATACACACAAAGCATGAAAAAATGGGTGTTTACCACTACAAAAGGTTTTCTCTCCCCCCACCCCACTCTCCTGCTGGTAATAGCTTATCTAAAGTGATCACTCTCCTTACAATGTGTATGATAATGAAGTTGGGCCATTTCCAGCACAAATCCAGGTTTTCTCCCTCCACCCCACCACAAACCCACTCTCCTGTTGTAGCTCTTGAGGGTCATCTGGCTATCATTGTGCAGCGGACAGGCGTGGAAGCTGTGCAAGAATACGAATTGCAGACTTGGGAAGTACAGTCCAGATTTTTTAAAAAAAGGAAGGTGAGTCTGAGCAACAGGAGGAGGAAGGGAATGGTGTGATCAGCTGTGTGTGGCATATGTGCTGAACAAAGCTGGTAGAAAAAAGGAGCGCAGTATGAAAAAAATCTCCCTTTCCTTTGAAAAAATCAAAATCTGTAATTTCAAAAATTTGAAAAATGTCAACCAGTTTTAATGCTGAGGCTGAAGAACAGATTCTCACTACTCTGCTGGTGGCAGGGTGTAGTACTGAGAGGGTGTTGGAAGAAGATGGATTGCAGCATCTTGACACCACAGAGCATGCATGAGAAAGGGCAGCAAGACAAGAATGAGTAAAGATAAGTGATGTAGTGAAGTGATCTATCTATCTTCGGTATTTATGGGGCACAAAATACCAGTTACTTGGATTATACTAAGAAACATGGATCCAGATTTTGGTAGGTTTACTCATGGTAGATACTTTAACACTTCTTCATATGCAGCTCCATTGGCTTCAGTGGAACTATTAGCTGAGTTAGGTAGTCTTCAGCATAAATATGGGGTAATTTGTATTAGAAATTGGACTATAGAGATTACAAGGTGTGGTCATAATCCTAAAATCCTGGCTATACTAAAGAGTAATCGATTGTAAGGCCAGAAGGGAACATTATGATCATCTAGTCTGAATTCCTGCAAAATGCAAGCCTGCGAATTTCATCAAGTAATTTCTGCATCAAGACCATAACTTCAGTTTGAGCTAGAACATATCTTTTAGAAAGACCCTTCAATCTTCATTTAAAATACCACAAAATACCACATCAGTAGGTAGATTGTTGAAATCTTCTCTTCCACATCGTATCTTCCACATATGTACCTTTAGACTGTGATCAAGCCACCTCTTAACCTGCTCTTTGATTAGTTACATGGATTGATCTTCTTAAATTAATCTCCCCACTGTATTTTCCACTGCATGCATCCGACGAAGTGAGCTGTAGCTCACAAAAGCTTATGCTCAAATAAATTTGTTAGTCTCTAAGGTGCCACAAGTACTCCTTTTCTTTTCACTCTAAACCAGGTTTTCCAATCCTCAAATTATTCTTATTGCTCTTTTCTGAATCCTTTCACATTTTCAATATCCTTGGAAGACAGAACAACACTAGGTGCAAATATGTTAAAACACTGATTGTCCAAACATGTGTCTCCCAGACCTAAGCTTAAAAACAAAAAAACCCTCTAACATGGCTGTATCATTGTTCTCCCTTGGTGTAAAGACCTTGTCTGTGAAGTGCACGGTGCATTGCGGTTTCTATATAAGCAATAAATGAAATTTAAAAAATAACAGCCCAGACAGCAAATTTTAGCATAGTTGTAGGTGATATTACAACTGAGGGCCTGTTTACCCTATAAAAACAGTTATGTTAGAAGTCCTGGTTAGATACAGTTAAAAAATCATAATTGTATTTACCATGTCAGGAAGAAGTTATGCTGTAAGTTTGCAGAACTGTGTTTATGTTTCCTGAATATGGTCCCAGGTCTCATTCATTTTCCCTCTCAAGGTCCTCTCCCTGCCTCCACAACCCCCACTTTATTTTCTGTTGTTGCATCTCTGACAGAACACTCTCAACTTACCATATAAATTGGGATTCTCAAGGTCCATACGCTGCTTTTGAGCTTCCAGAAAGACTCGGATGTTGATTCCTTTTGCTACGGAAGCATTATTGATAAATCGAGAAGGGATTTTAGTGCAAATGTCAGGTTCTTCTGTCCCAAACCCCAAATCCAGTAGAATCTCAACTGGATCATTTTCCCAGAGCTCCAGCCATTCAGTGATGCTGTGGATAAAACAAAGACAATTCATATCACTGTCCTGACATCACCCTTCTTTTTGTTTAGCTCTTACATGGTTTTGCCTTTGCTCAGAAATTCTATTTCCTTCCCCCATCTCACTTTCCCAGCACTCCTCCACGAGGTGGCAGTTATATTCTTCCAGTTCAGAGGCCCATGATTTTTTCTCCCAGGGATGCATTAGCCTGGAAAGATAAGGCGGATATAGAGTACGTAGCAAGAGGAACATTTGTAGAAGTTGATGTTCCTATGGATTGAAATCCTCTTTCTATCCACATCATAGATAAGGCACATGCTACAGCAATTCAGCCTTCCTCACATTGCCTCACAAACATGCCTCAATACTCACCTCTGATGTCAATGGAAAGCTTATCAATGGGCTTTGTATCAGGTACCTACTAATCAGCGGAGGGCCATTTTGTTCTCATTGAAGTAAATGAGAGAACTCCCATTAACTTCAATGGGAGCAGGATTGGGTGTCATGTATCTTTATTCTTTACACTCCATTTACTGGGTTTTTAATCCTCATGTATTTGTCAGTCTCTAAACAGGACTAATCTCTACCGCTTTGGATTGAAAATATCTGGAAACTACTAACCTTTTCGGTGCACTAGCAAGAGAATGGGACGAGTTGAAACTGTTCCATCTTGACATAACAGGAGTTTCTGAAAACTGATGCAGAGATCTACAGGAGTTGGAAAAAGTAACCATGAAGTCTTGGGGTCCTTTGGGATGTCATTATGATGTTTTTTCCAGAGTAAACATTTGCATTTTGTTTTGGTTTATAATGATACACAATACCAAGGCCTTAGAAGAAGAGCATGTATGATACTGTGGCAATACACTTATTCTCAAGAACAGTATGTTACAGTAGGTGTTAAAATGTAGGTGTTAGGTACCAGTAAATGCTAATTATAAAGGTGGCAGAATGTCTCGCTTTTGACAGATGGTGAATCTTTGGGGAACCTTTAGGGAGCACAGTTTCTCTAGCCACCTACTTCTAAAGGATATAATTGCTGTTAACAAAGTTTTAGATAGAATAGGCTCACTAAGTAGCAACAGCAGGAACTACATTTCAGATTACATCTCAGTTCTTTGTATAGTTAGGGTTTCTGACTGTATTTGTAATAAATAATCTGGATCGTAATGCCTGTTTTTAAGGAGCCAATCATTGTAGAATGAAGAAAAGGAGTACTTGTGGCACCTTAGAGACTAACCAATTTATTTTATTTTATTTTATTAATAAATTGGTTAGTCTCTAAGGTGCCACAAGTCCTCCTTTTCTTTTTGCGAATACAGACTAACACGGCTGTTACTCTGAAACCAATCATTGTAGAATGAACATTCTGTAATCTGGTAGTCTTTTTCTAAGGTACACATTTAATGCTTCTGTAATAGATGGACTTCACTTTACTCACATGTACCTAAGGTGATTAGGGTCATGAATATAGTTATGGATGAAAAGTTGGTCCATTCTCTATCCTTCCAAGCTGCTCCACAAGATACAGCTTAAACAAGATTTAAATTTTGCTTAGGTCTTGTACTAAGGTACTAATGTTAAAAAAAAAAATAAAAAAACTATCTACAGAAAAAACTTTGTGGTGTCTTTGAAAATATTAAATATAAAGTTTCTTCCTTTGTATCTAATATAGCCACGCATTGTCTGAAACCTACCTCATATAGCTTTGCACAGTCATTTGCACCATTACTGGGTTAGCCAAGGAAACTGCAAGTAAGAAAATACATTTATATTTGTACTCCTAATGCCTCTCAGGACAGAAATGTTGTCAAACTAGAACAGAGGTAAGATTTATTTAATTGCATGACCATGTTATTATAGCAAAAGCAGCAAATATCACTTTCCAGCGTAGACAAGCTCTTACCATCAGATTGAATGCCCAGTGAAGTCAATGGAAGTCTTTCCGTTGACTCCACTCGGTTTTGGATCAAATCTTTAATGTGTTTGGGAAGGAGTTAAAACAGTCACAGAGCAGGGGAAACAGTTTTTGTGAGAGAAACAGTCTGGCTAGGAACTGGAAGTACTGAACACACTGGTTACTGGAGTTCTAGGGTGCTACAATTAGGAGTAATAAGCTACACTTTGTTTATACCATCTAATAAACTTGCTCACTACTGTAAATAAGTGAGAGTAGGATACAGTGTGCTGTGGCAGTATAGTTCATTGCTCCTTGCAACAATGAAATAACACACTCATGGATTCGAAATCTTCCTTGCTGCTTGGAAGTTGGGGCAGAATATTTTCCTGTGGTTAACAATAGATGCTGTTCTGTGGCACATGCCAATATCTTTTTACCTCTTTTCTTGAGATTTAAATATTTGCTTTCTATTAATAAAGCTTTGCCTACAAAGAAAGGGAAAAGCATCGTCTCTTGTTCTCTACTGGATTACTTTCCTGCTCATAAATCCTAACACAAATTCTTGTGGTTTACTCGCTGCAAGGATAACCATCAAAACTATGAACAAAAAAGGATGTCGGCATTCTGTAATTGCTATGGCAACATAAACCAGAACCTCTAATAGCAAACGCTGTGCTCAACTTGCACACGAATCTGCTACTTGTCTCAGGACACAACGTGTCTTCTTTTCCTGTACACAGCATTGGATCACCTTGCAATATTAAATTTATTTATCCTCACAGCACCCCTGTGAGCTAAGGAACTATTATCTCCATTTTACAGATGGGGCATTGAGGCACAGAGAGACTAAATGACCTGCCCAGGGTCATCCAGGAAGCCTGTGGCAGAGAAGGGAGTTGAGCCACAGCCCAGGCAAGCACCCTAACGCCCTAGGCCTGGAGATGCGCTATAAAAATGCTGGGTGCCTGGCAAAGGCAAAAGAAAAAAATGGTGGGAAGTTTAATTAGAGTTCTTCCTTGATAGGGCTCGCCAAGCCTTGCCTTCCAAAAGAACTTGATGCCCTGCCAACAGAAATTTTACCTTATAGTAAACTCCTCAACAGCGTATGTTACTGGGATCGAAACGAACACATGCACCACCCCTGTAAAAGTACAGACAGCACTGTGGAAGTTGCTACTGCATGGTCATTTGAAATGATCGTAGCTTTCGGGTGTTTTGAGTAGCCATGGAACATAACTAGTCTCTCAGTAACAGGCTGAGACACAACATAGAACCATTTATCTTTGCATCTGAGGGTACCTGCTGAGTAGACTTTCATCCACATGTGAGCTCTCCACTTCCCTTTCCTGTCTTGAGCCTTAATTAGAAGATCCCCAAACTGGCAAAGAGTGGGATTGTAACGGGATATAAAGAAAGAGGACCTATACATTCTCAAACTAAGAGGCCATAAAGGTAGTGTGACGGCACAGTAGGTATGCTTCCTGATCTCTAAAAATGCATTTATTCTAGACTCTGAAAACATTTCATCTGATTACTGAGCTGGAATATACTTTTGGGAAAATAATGCCCTTTAGAAATCAGTCAGAGAAAGTTTATGACAACAAAACAAAACAAAAAGGATTTTCTAAGCCAACAGCAGCGCTAATTGGTGCTGTGTTCACAGGCAAAAATGTACTTACATATGTGCAGTAAAGAATCCATTTTGCAGGGTTAAATGTAGTATCTAATTCTTGAGAGGGACTAGGACATTTTAGCAGCACAGAAGATGCTGGATATTAAGAGAAGATAGGAGGAAATTTCATTTTGAAATTCTATACCTCTTAATTTTGAATAGGAAGTTGAGAATACCATGTTAGAATGTGAGCAGCATTATTAAGCAGTAATTTGGATCCACAGCAGGTACTCGAGATTTGAAAGCTTTGGTGGACTTACATATCTGAGAGGAAACAAGGGGTTGGGTTTTTTGGCTCCCCTTCATGTTCCCCCATCACTGACATAACCCGGAGATCTGTTACCCTCAGTTAACAAGTACATTAGGAGAGATGTCACAATCAAAGCAAGAATTAAAGCAGTTCAAATCAAACACCACAAAAGTTCGGTGGGCCAGATCATCCACTGGTAGAAATCTGCATACGTATCTCCATTGACTTGAGGGGAGATACACCAATTTATATCCACTTAGGATCTGGAGATTAAAGAAGTCTCTGCTGAGTGCTAGTTTGGGGGTCTTCTGATTGAGACTCCAGAGGGAGAAGGAACGGAGAGTTTACCTATGGATGAAAGGCTCTACACAACAGATGCAAAGACAAATGGAGAGCTGTGCCTTTTAGTAGCGTACAAATGAACAACTCTTCAGAGGAACAAGACAAACGGTGAAACGTCTACTGATTATTTATTAATCATGGATGCGCTATCTGATGCATCCAGAATATCTACCATTACTGACAAATGTTAATCCTTTGCCCAGAGAGGCAGATCTCCCAGATTTTTTACTGTTTTACCTGCTTTTTCTCTGTCTTGTTGTAAATCTTCACTTGTAGACAAGCTGTAAATATAAGATGTGCTTTTTAAAAAGAAGGAATTAAATCGCTATAAAAAGCATGACACTCAGCTGCTTTTTCATTAAATAGATATGGTAGGGGGATGCAGTTTCATAGAAAAGTACAGCACTAGGCATTCAATGTATGTTAGAGCTGCCATGTATGTATGGTGTTGAGGAAAATGCTCCCTGTGCCCAACTTAATTCCTACTAGTACTTGCCCCCTCCCCTGCTCCCCAACATACAGAGACCTTAATTAAGCACTAAGGGTCCAATCTTGCAGTCCTTGCCACAGACAAAGCCTCTGTTTATGTCCATGAAAATTTTGCCTAAGGAAAACATGCAGTTTATGGTCCTAAATCTATCAAGGGCTAAAATTATGGCTTCCCCTGTCCACACGGACTAGCGAGGGAAGAGGTTGAACAACGTCTTACCCTTTTGAGGAGGCACCCACACAGGAGGCAGCCATAATCCGGTTCCCACTAGATCCAATATGTGTGGTGGGGTGGTCACTAGCTTGCAATACTGTACTAAATGACCAAGTGACGGTCCTGCCCACGCTAAGCCTAAAAGGTGCTGGCATGACTATATAGGACGAATGCTTCTTACATCCTTTTATACTCATCACCATGTCCCCAGACACTGTTCCTAAGTCTGTGCCATTCCTTCTCCTCCCCGGTGCAATTCTGCCTATGAAGAGGCGGAATGTAGTTCGAGTTACTGAAACACCGTATCCACAGGGCTATGGCTACAACTTAGCAAAATTCAGATTTTATGTCCCATGGGAAATTCCAATATTTGTTTTCCTCACAACCTGGATAAAACAGCAAAATCTTATTTTTCCTCATGGAACAAAATATTCTGAAAAATGTTGATTTGGAAATGTTGAAACATTTCACTTTGCCATTTTCTATAGAAACAAAACATTTCAACAGTCCCGAAATGGAAATGTTTAGTTTGGGATTGTTGAACTGATCCAAAGAGCTTCATTTTAAGTCAATTCAACATTGCACCCATTGTGGTGCATTGTCTCATGAGAGCTGTAATTTGGAAGTCTGATGCCCCTATTCTTTTCTATAAACCAGACTCCCTCGGCAGAGAACAACTCCCATGATCCAACTAAGTCACATGACTCCCATGATGCATCATACAGCATTTTTCGAGGTGTAGCCCCCCAACCCATATGAGAGAATGGGAAACTGCACTACAGCTCCCATGAGGCAATGCACCGTGATAGGGAAATATAGTTGAATGTTGAATTGATTCAAAACAAAACATTTTGAACACACCCAAAAATCAGATATTTAGTTCTGATTTTTCCAATGGCAAAATTAAAAATTTTCAGCAAAATTTCAATTTTCCTGCAGAAAATTTCAATTTTCCAGAAACCGCATTGTCCATCAGAAAATCCCTGGCCAGCTCTACTGTTGCTATCAGTAAGTGCAGAGGCATAATTTGATGATGCAGCAAATACTTATTCAATAACATGACCAAAACTTACAAGAATCCAGAATCCAGCCAGTGGCGAATATTTTCTTCTTTAGAATCTTCTGAAAATAACAATAAACAAGATACAGGATCACTGGCTCCAGTTGCGGATTGGTTTATAGCCATTTACCACATGACTGAACTGCTTCATTTCCCAGTGCCATTAATCCCAGAATTTGTAAACGCTATTAGGGGAAAGACTGCCAGTAAATTCATTTCAATAACCTGAGTTCTTTCTAAATGGAGTTCCATTGTGCGAGGCACTATACAAAATCATAGTAAGACACAGTCCCTGCCCCAAAGATGGTACACTCTAAATGGAGAAGATGAATAAAAGGTAGGTGGAAGGAAGGATTATTATCCCCATTTTACATATGGGGAAACTGAGGCACAGAGACCATTATTTAATCACTAAAAATGCTACAACAAAAATCTGATATGTATTAATGCTTTTTTTTTTTTTTTGCTTCTTGATGTTCAGATAAAGCATCAGTTTAAAAGATAACCTAGCCACTGAGTCTTTAATTAATTAGAGGATTAGGATTAAAGTTCACTGGAAGAGTATTCTCTAGAAGTTCGTGCACTGTCAGATGTTAGACACTACATTCACCAAAATATAAATAAAAGAGGGTCAGAAAAATACAACAAAAATAAAATTTTAACAAAACCAAAAATTGGGGTGTGGATTTTTCACTCCCCTGAGAAACATAGTTATATTGACCTAATTTCCTAGTGTAGACCAGGCCTAAAATCAGTTTAAAGCCTACTCAAATTAAACCAGTGCAACATGAATGTAAAGCAGGCCTAGGTTTGTTTTGCATCTTTTCCCACTGTGCAGGTACACTAACAGATCAGGGCCTAAAATGGAAACAAAATACAAAAAAACCCAACCCCCCCCCCCCCCAACAGATTCAGAGAAACTAATGTTTAATACACCTTACAAATCTTGGTTGTTTCACAATATATCAACCTATAGACAGAGCTCATCCTTTAGCTCAAGTGGGAGAGGTCTGCATTTCCACAGTGTATGGTTTGGGGTTAACAAAATAGTAGATAAGACACTGATACCTCTTTTAGCCAATAAACATCAACCAACCAATTAATACCCTGAAACAAATCAGCCTTAAAAAGTAAACCAATAAAATCTAAAAAAGCCACAAAACAAAAACTTACTGCAAGCAGAGTTTACATCCTGAAAAAGAAGAAGTGCCAGGGACTCCATGAAGCCCACTAAGGACTTTGCTATTCCTCTCAGTTTTATGTGGAAGGGGTTCAAATCCTATGGGGATAGGTGGCAGTATAAAACATTAAAATAACTAGAAATGAAATATAGAATAGACAAGGGACAAGACTGGGGACTGATCTAATGGGAGCAACTGGCAAATGTAGCAGCCAGGCAAACTCAAGAAAAATAAAAGGACTGCTTTTATTGGACATTCATATACTCTCCACTTAAGACTCTTTGGTACAGAAAAACTGTGTGACATGCTTGTTTATAACTTGTATCACCAGACTTATTAGGAGATAATGCAATGGTATTAATGCTTATTACTGTGTAATTGTTTCACTGGAGTTTGCATATTGTCTACCATGGAATTATTGTAAAATGACACAATTATTTCAAGGTAGCCATGTGACTATAAGCCTGATCTTACTGCTAGTGCAGCCTGTGCCTTAATACTCATGTCATTAGTGCAGTCACTACAGTGCAAGTAAAAATGCCATTATCCTCTGTCATAACAGGCTTTTAAGAATCCCAGGAATGCCATTCCCAGGTCTCACCAAGCTGTGAAAGAGGAAGAGGGTTGTCTACTACAGCTGGAGTCAGAGAATCGTCATCCAGTTGAGTCCATGATGCTTTGGCAGATAACAGGATACCCCTCTTGTTCATTTCACAGGTACTGCTAGTCCCATGGCAGTAAGACTCTGAAGCCATCCCACCGTGCAAGTTTGTGAGCTAAGAAAACAGATACAAAGAAAATCATGTTTAATACATTTTACAAATCCTGGCTCTTTTACAGTATAAGCAACCTACAGACGGAGCTCATCCTTTAGCTCAAGTGGGAGAGGCCTGCATTTCCACAGTGAATGGTTTGAGGGTTAAGGCACTGGACTGGAGTTCAGGGTACCTGGATTCAATGCCTGACTCTACCACAGACTCCCTGTATGAACTTGGGCAAGTCACTTCACCTCTCTGCATCTCAGCTCCCTGTCTGCAATGTGGTTATGTTTGAATTGTAAGGTTTTTGGGACAGGGTTTGTTCCTTACTATGTGTGCATACAGTGTCCTGTACAATGTGTCCCTGGTCTCCGATGGTCCTGTAGGGTGCTACTGTAATACAAATTTAAAATATCTCTGCAAGGGGCATTGCAGGCACATCTCACTCTCTACCAAGCTTAGCATGGTTCAGCTGTTAACCTTCCCCATTTCAGTCAGCAAATCACCCACTAAGTCTGCAGTAAAAAAAAAGTGGCCCTGATATCATGCCACTGACTGAACCTTCCAAGTGCTGCCGTTCAATCTGCCCACAGACCGCCAATGCAGCAACGTTCTAACAAAGATCACTGTAGTCATGAATCACATTTTCAACAAGATTGTTTTTTCGGTGTGTGTGTGATGACAGATGGAGGCCAGACTGCATGAAAGATTTTAAGAGAGGAGAGAGGATTAAGCCCCATAAGAGCAGCTTTTAAGAGCTTCTTTTATCATAAGAGACAGAGAGGAAAGGAGAGGAAGGGGAACATTGGTTAGGTTCTCTCTCTAATTTTATAAATTAATCTGGAGATTTTTTTCTCTGTCAATGACAACACTGGCTTGAGAAAGGCACAGTTTAGCAGGCATTGGGAAAGTCTCCCCTCCTCGCTTTGCTAAGGCACTTCATTTCTATCCACAGTCTCCTCCGGGAAATTCAACCTCTTCTCATGCAGAGAATCTCCCCTCAAGTGGTATTGTAGCCAACAGTGGGGCAGTTTTGTGATGCTTATAGTTTCAAAGCCTAAAGATCCCTTTCAAAGTTTGTTCTGTTAGAGCTACACACAATAAGCCTGGAACTGAACGTAACTGAAAAGGCAGGAGCCTACCAAGCAAAGTGTCTGTAACGGGGGTGTAAAAAAATCCCTCTGTTGTCTGTCTTTTGTGGATGCTGTCAAGGTAAATGAACTGGGATTCTTAACATCCTTTGAAACAACTTTTTTGTTGTTGGCTGAAGCTCATTCATGGAACATTGGCTTACATGACCTGGTCTACCCATTGAGTTCTTTCCTTTCTAAGGTGACCTGGGCACTTCCGAAAGAACTAGAGAGTGAAGTCCTCTATTTATGCAGAGAACAGGCCTACTACAGACAATGCCAGCGTGAGCTACCCCATGCTGTGCTGCCAGTGTGCTCCTACCCGTTCTTGGAGGGAGTCTAGTCCATTCAAACTCCTTTTGTCCAGATTATGGCAGGCAATGGAGAGGGACATGGGGAGAGGGGGAGGGGATGGAGAGAGGGAAGAAGAGAAAAAGGAAGCATTTCTCCCACACACTCACACCTTGTGCACAGTCCTAGTCCTGGCACTCTGCGAGGGAAGTAAATTAAACATTCCTCACAGCAAAAAACATTTGGCTCCGTTTCCAAGTGAAGCTATTCTGGATACAGAGTGACCTCCCTCTTTCTCTCCTTGGAAACACAGCAGTGTCTGGGGTATAGATGTGAGGTCTTCTCTGTGTGAGCGGTTTTGGCCAACACATTGCAGGGAGACAGGGGTGAAGGACAGAGCTATACCTTTCCACCTCTGCTTACCTGCTAGGCCGGGGGAGGCAGAAAAGCGGGCATGCAGTGCCCCCTTAGCCCTGTGCCTACAGGCCCAACCTCAGTAGAGGCTGTGCCAGCATATAAGGCAGGGAGATCTAACTTCTCCTTACACTCATGCAAGGCTACACAGCCTGCCTCACTAATGGGCGCATAGTGAGGATATGGGACGACAGGAACTACTGCCTGCAAGAAAGTGGAGCCTTATGCCTGTCAGAAAAAAAAAACTGCTGTGAAAAATGCTTTGAAAGTGGGACACACAAAGGATGTAAATCCACACCTTTTACAATGTGGAGAGGGGAATCTCCTTTTTCTCACCATGACCATTTCCAGCAGAAACAGAAGGTGAGATGCTGTGACACAGATTGCCTGAGGGTAAAGGACAAAAATTCAGATATAGCTTAGTTCAATGTGCTTATTTTCAAGTTTTGTATCTGGGTGGGGGGCAGGGGGAAGGGGACTGATTCTCCTGCACCTTGTGTTGGCCTTTATACCTGGACAAAATGGGTGTAAAATACTACCAAATCCAAACTGGAGTGTATTTTACCCATTTTCCCCTTGTGTAAATAACTACACAAGGTGCAGGGCAATAGAGAATCAAGCCCTGTATCTGGAGATGTATACAGGTAACTCCCATTAGCCTTAATTATTGTTAGCAACATTAACTTCTTTTCCATTGATAGTGGAAGAGTTCCTTTTGATTTCATATTAATTATAATACATTATGATTAATCTGACAAGGTACATCTTTTCAGACAAGAATGTCCTCTTGATCACAGTTTGGGTGCCAGAGCCACTCATCATCTACATGTTTTAATTTAACCTATCTCCAGAAGCAAATTTAGCTCTGCAAATCTGTTGATGAAATGAATGACTGGCTAGTTTCCATGTTCTGTGTATTTTATTCATTTGATAAACACATTGGGAACATCTTGGAGGCTCTGTTCACAAAGAAGGCAACAAGGTAGAAGTTAAAGACTCTTGTAAATGAGCTATGTACACAGGTTCTTAACTACACAAAGCAAATAAATAAACAAATAAATACAGCTGAAATAACATGTAGACAATTTATGGCAAGTTTTCAGGATGATCAGTCTCACTTAAAGTTGCCAGCACTTAGCAACCCCATTCTCCTTGCCACTGACAATATTTAAATGATTATTTCACAAAAACAAGTTACTCTGGAACTCCTTTCATCACACCACATTCATCATGGTACACGTTGACAAACATTTAAAGGAATTAGATAAATACTTGCCAGGTATGAAAACTAGAAATTAGTTGACAAACAGAGACTAATTATTAATGTAAAGATCTCCAAATGGAAAAGTAATGTGCCAGAAGGGTCACTCTCTGGAATGGATATCATTTAATGTTTTTATTGACCATCCAGAGACAGGATATAATTCCACAATCATCAAATCAACTGATAACAGTAAAATGGAGAGGTTTGCATAAAACAGAGGAGGACAGAAACAAACTACAAGACAAGAGCAACACAGTGGCTTGCATGTAATGAAAATCAGTACTGATAAATGTAAAGCTAAGCTCCGAGGAAAGTGACATACATCACACAGATACGGATTAGTAGACAGCAGCAAGTCACAGGCACTCCAGTTCAGCTAAGCACTTAAGGACAGGATTAACTTTAAACACATTAGTAATTCCATCTCCATTCAGCAAAGCACTCAAGCACATTCTTGGGGCCAGAATGATTTACGCATTATAGGAGCAAACTAAGCATACTGTTGCACTCCAACACCATTGTGAAAAAAGCCAATGCTACTTTCAGACATATGTGTTGGGATCATAACAAGTTATGTATAGCCTGGGATGTGTAAGTGGAATACTACATATAGTTCTAAATTGATCACCTCCATTTAGGAAGGATTAAAAAATGAGAGCCTCCCCCCCCTCCCCAAAAATGGCCTATTATTACTTTGAAAGTATTTATAGAATAGAATCATGTTCATCACCCTGAGTCTTCTCTCTTCTCTATATACCAATATATAGCTCCATCAGGTGAACGGAGCACAATGTACCTAACCTAGTAAAAAAAAGAAAGAAGACACAGGATGCACAATGGCAGGTGCAGAAGGGGAGCGACATAGGTTGTAGCATGCACTTTCCTCTAACAAAGCCCCGCCAGCTCCAGGGAGGTGAGCACCAGCAGTGACCAGTCCCAGGGGAAAAAGGGGGAAGATTTCTTGCACCCTCTTTCCCCTCCCTCCAGGCACCTGTGCAGAACTGGTCACAATCTAGCCCCAGAGACCGGATCACACTGGAATCTCAAATTCAAGCCTCCCTCTGCCAAATTTGAAGTGGAAGAGGGTTTCAGCTTCAAATTCCTGGATTTGAATCCACCATTACAGTTTTGGTTCAGATCTAAAACTGGAAGGGACTAATTTTCTGGAGCCTGTTTCCTGCTTGGAGGTGGACCAAGATGGTGGAAATCTTGTGACAACAGCCAATCTAGCAAAATTTCCACATTCTAGGCAGGGAATTCTAGACCTGAACTCTAATTCCAGCTCTGTCCCAGACTTCCTGTATGATTCTGGATACCCTCCTGGGTGCTGGACTTACAAATAAACTTTGGTGTGGTGACAGTGCCTAGAAAATCACTGAGAGTCACAAAGCCTGATTTGGGTGTGCAGGCTCCCTATAAAATGAATGGAGGGAGATAGGCACCTTAGAATGGGATTCATAAAAGCCAGCCTGGTAGGCGGCTCCTCACTTAAACTAACCAATGGGAGATGTCAAGCCAAGGGGCAAGTGCAAAGCTGCACACCACCCTTCTCTCAGAGATGGGCATCTAACTCCAGGCTGAAGGGAGGTGCCTCCCTCTGCCTGGGATTCTTAACTGCAAAAGCTGCCTTGGCATTAGGTCCCTATGCTGATTTTGTAAGCAACAGCTCCCTCACAACTTTTTAACCCAGTAATTCAGGAACTAAGCTGAGAGGGGGAGACCCTGGTTCAAGTCCCCCTCCACCTGAGGGGGAGAAGGGATTTGACTAGGGGTCTCCCACCTTTCAGGAGAGTGTGCTTACCACCAGGCTATGGGATATTCTGATGTGAGGGCTCCCTCAATCTCTCCTGTTCAAGATGTTCCACTGTGGAGAAATAACAGGGAAAAATCTTTGGGTGTGAGAGAAAAAGCAACTGTGA